CCCTCTTTGGTAAAAAAACATGCTTTTTTATACCCATGAAGTCAGTCACCTAATCATATGCACTGGTAATCACTTGTTTAAGTGCATATATAATTTTATTGTCCACTCTTTTCTAGGAATAATCTGAAACAGACAGCTTTAACTACTAGGTTTGGGTGAGAATTCTGTGAGATCTGTGTACACACTGTAAGAAAAAGACTAAGGGTCGACCACTTTAATGTGGGAGATCTCAGTTATATCGATTGTCTTCATTTTCTCCTAAGGCCTGAGTGGAAGATATACTACAGTGTTAAAAGGGCTAAGGTTATGAGGAGAGTTTTTTTGTTTTTTTGGTTTTTTTGGGTTTTTTTGCTCTGAATACCTTCAAGGCATGACTGGCTGGCTTGTGTTGTGGGGATCGAACCACAGCAACCTGAGCCTGACTGCTTTGTTGAAGCAGCCACTTAAAGAACTGAGCTAAGGGGCAGGCCCCCCATGAGAGTTTTGATTGTTTCTGAATATGCTATGCTCTAAGCCTCATAATGCAGAAAGGATGTACAGAGGAAAGGCAAGACATGACTGATAGGCATAAAGAAGTTTAATGTATCATGAATCAAAGTAAGCCTATATATTTGAAGACTCATGAAGCTAGACATATGACAGTGATAAAGTGGACTGTTTCACTGTAGCACATTTGATGACCATGCAGGAAAAGGCAGATTATCCTCATGAGGATTCAGGTAGCCACTTTATGAAGACCCAAAGAAAGCACATGTAACTGGGGTTTATGCAAGTCCTAGTACAAGGACGAGAAACTGCCGTCCAGATAGAACTGTATATAAATAGCTCAAGAACAAATCTCTGAATCCTACATAGAAATTTTAGACAAAGGCTGGATGCATGCCTGTAATCCCAGCACTTGGGAGGCTGAGGCAGAAGAACCTTGATTATTTCAAAGCTAGCTTGGCCTACATAGTTTAAGGACAGTTTAGACTTCATAGTGAGGTCCTGTCCCAAAAACTCAAAAGAAATTTAGCCAAAAGAGCCAAGATAAAGACCCTTATTGAATACTGTTATGGTGTATGGCGAGATGTCCCCCCAAAGCCTCATGCAGTCATGGGGGGGGGTTGATTTATGGGCCAATGCTGGGATTATGGGTGTGAGTGTTACATGCACAGTGGCGCACATAGCCAGCATACAGTATAAAGGAGGGAAAGAGGCCAGCTCTCAGCTATTCCTCTCTTTTGCTCTTACTGCTTTTGCTGTTCTCTGCCTCCATGAGCTACTGCCCTCTGCCACGAGCCACTCTGCCTTGGAGCCAACCAAGTATAGACTAAAACCTCCACAAACTGCCAGCAAAATAAACCTTTACTTCTTTAATTTTGAGCATCAGGTATTTTGTCCCAGTAATGAGAGAAAAATAACCAACACTGACACTTTTTATTAAGTCACATAAAACAAATAGTAAGAACCTGAATTATCAGACTACTTCCCAAAAAGTTTGCTTTCCTAAATAAGAAGAGTCTTTATCCAAGGATTCTGAAGCCGATTGGTTTTGTATATATTACACAATTAAACATCCAAGCTTGCTCAAGGAAAATATTCCACTGCTTGTGGTTATGGCTGACACAGATAGTGAATTAGTAAAACACTTTGAAGGTAGCCAATATATCTCTGGGTGTACCCTCACCAAGTATTTCTGTGTAATGCACTAATCCAGTATTATTAGATATACTGTGGTGTTGTGGTTCCACGAATTGCTAATGTGATGTGGGAAAGTAGTGGTGTCCCAAAGTCTTATTTCAAAGGATATGCAAGTGCAAAGTATTTTCATGATATTAAGATGTTGTTTACCCTTTCCATTTATTGACATCTTCATTAATTAGGTGTAAGTGCTTGTGAATTAAAAAAAAAAACTGCTGACTTATAAGAATCAAGGCAATGATACCAAACTGTATTAGTAGTTATCATATTCTTTAGTACAAATGCATGTGCAGTTTATAAAAAGCTCAGTTTCATGTCACATTGCCAATAAAGTAGTAAAATCTAATTCTGTTGATTGTTGAGCTCACTATTTTTTATTTTTCACATGACAAAAAAGCAAGTACACATAAAGCACCTCTCTTACAACTATTATTTAAGAAAGAATATTTGTGAAAATGCCTGACTGGCCAGCTGCATTGGTTGCTTTGAACATGAAATCTTACTTAGAATAATGACAGGGTATGATTATTCAGACTTGGGCATGTGGCACACATTTTCTTAGAAATATTATAAGGGGAACCTGTTATTTCAAATGAAAGAAATTACTATTGTCAGTGATAAAATTTCAAGCTTTCAAATAAATATCAGCATTTTGAAAAATCTAACTTCTCTGGGAGTTTGAGAGCTTCCCAAAAGATGCCAATGCCATCAGTCAGAGTTCTGACCAGAAGATACAAGCAAGTCTTAAAGGGGATGGGTGATCCCTATAGAAATGAGGCAGGATTTTTTCACTGTCAGCAGGAAGAACTGGAGCCACTAGTTATTTTCACTTAGCCTACTGACAATGGTCTTGAACAGTAGTAATGAACCACCCAAGAGGAGGACTGCCATCGCAAATCAAAGTATCAGGCAGAATCTTGTCCTACTTTTATTTTAGCTCCTCTAGGCTCAATACCAGAGGTTAGAATAGAACAAGAAAGAGGAACAGCAAAGGTATCAGTCAAACAGAACCCAGCTCTAGATCTCAAGAGTTTTAAAACCCAGATTAAGGTCTAGTCTATCTGGAAGGAAGCTAAACAAGCACTGGATCAAGCCTGTAATGGGAGTTTTCATATCAAGAGAATTGAGTCTTAAATACTGGAATGAGAATGAAGCATTTATGAATTATGAAACAATGACAATAATATTAAGGAGATGATACTAGTGGGAAAAGGAAGTGTGGCATAGTAGAGAAGTAGTAAAGCAAAACCAATGTGTATTGCTATCCCAAGGCTTTCTGATGAAATGGTTCACAAGGGTGAATAGTCTCTGAAATTAGGTTGCAAAAGGTTGGTGTTCTTAACTTACCATCCCTGTTCGTCTTTCTTATAACCAATAAAACTGAAGAGGGACACCAGCAATGAAATCCTGTTAGGAGCACTAATATACTATGGTACTTAAGTCTACAAGCAGTCTTGACAATTTGTTTACTCCTATTTTTGTTTTGTTTGCTAAATACCAAGTAGATAAGAATTATACTTCTAGCTCTGAGAAGATACAATCAGGGTCACAGATATGAATGGACAAATAAGCATTGTCAACGATGGGAGATGCTAAAAGTAGTAAATATTTTTAATAGTAACACAGAAGAGATTGCCAGGAACATAGTGGATAAAGTAGTAATTAACTTGATACCTCAATGTTTTCTTCTTTCACCTTTTAATGACTTAACCAATGAAGAAACTCAAAAGGATATTTATCAAAGAGGAAAAAATGCTTCATTTTAAATGAACATTGCTCAGCTGCACAACATAGAGGAAGGAAAACAAAAGATCTAAGAGAAGAGATTAAGAGATGAGGAACAAGTGAAAGCTGATCAAAATGTGGGACCTGAACTGGGGTGGAACATAGAGGGTGGACAAGCATGAATGACAGACAGAGCAGACCAATTTCTGGATGAATGAGAGACAATAATGTAAAGTGGCTTGACACATTGCAATATTAATACATACCGAGACCGAATTGCGGGTTATGCTCATAAATCTAACTGCAATTAGTACAGGTTTCTGGATTAGGAAGGACATGAAAAGGAAAGAAGAAGGTTAGAATGTACATGTTACTGCCCTGTTAAAAGCGGTGTAATCTTTCAGTGGACTGAATATATCTATCTCTGCAGCATTGGCAAAAAGCACGGCTTATCTATCTGCTTTGAAAAGTCACTTTATGATAAAAGACTCTTTCCTTCCTATCTAGATGGGCTCTACTAAATTGGGTATGTAAGCACTGAGTTCCTGAAAACTTGTACTACAGGAAGTTTCATTTCTTAGGGTTTGTGTTTTCAGTTTCTGGGGGAAAAAGATTCCGATCATATCCTATGATGAACTTTACTACCTTTTTTCCTGGAAAAAAGGTTATGTTTACATTTTTTTTTTTTTCAGAGAAGACCTTCCACTAAGTTACCAACAGATCTTTGTTGAGCACTTGCTGTGCCATGAAGTTTGAATTGTAAAGGAAGATGTGGGTTAATACAGTGCCAACAGTGCCATTCTACGAAGATGTGAAGGAAATATACTGGACCCCTAGGGAGTATGGGCATGATGATGGGGAAGCTGCTTATTGTTAGGGACTTACTGGGAATATCAAGCAGGAGCTCACCACTATAATTTTACAACTCAGAGAAAGGGTAACAAATGGGCAACAGCTAAACTTTAATTCAATCACTGTTTTCCAGTTACTCAGATACTGATTATTAAAAACTGGAATTACTGATAGGTCACTGGTTACAATGGAAAGTAATAAATATAAAAGGGGTAAGTGAATTACTGATGAGGTTCCTATCAAAACTTGAACATAAATCTTTGAAGAAATCCTTATGTGATAATAGACTCATATTTGGAATTCTATTTCCTTATGTATCAAATGTTTTAGTTCAAATTCATTTTCAAGACTATTCCTATGAGTCTTGGCAGAATCACAGTGCCATAGTTGAAAATAGCAACATATGGTAGAAAAGTAAGAGAAAAATCTTAGGATAGGGTTAAGTTTTAATAAAAAATGACAGGAAAAGTAAAGAGGCTAATTATCAAGCCACTAATTTTATCTAAATATATGATTTATAAAATTCTGCACGTTTAATCACATACACCCTGTACACATAACTAAAAAGAGCTAACAGATCACACATCAGGTATCCATAGCACTGTGGTATTTGCTGACTTTTTTCCACTTCACTTTCTGAAAAAGATTCTGGAGATAATCCCTCTATGTATTAGAAACACACACTTAAAGTCTTAGTAAGGCTCCCATTTTTACCCTGTGGTTCCATGTTGGCATCTTACCATTGATCTACGAATCAGCGATAGCCTGGTCTTTGCTTTATTTTCAGCAAATTCCAAGCTACTGATGTCTTTGAGACGAGCCTTGTATTTATTCATTTGCTCCACAACAATCAGCTCCACACAGCTGAAATAGGAGGAAAGAAAATCTTTTAAGAGCAGAAGTGTAACTATCATAGATTATTCTTCAGTTAACTTTGGTGGACAAAGGATGAAAAAAAAAATCCATATCCCTTATTTTATGATCTCTGAGACAAGGCTTAGAATTGTTCTTCACAACTTTGGCTGTACACATTCCAAAGGCCAGGTTACACACCAGACCAATTAAATCAAATTCTTTAGGGATGGAATTTAAACACTGTATTTTTAAAAATTTCCTTTTGCAGTCAAGATGCAGAAGAAAAACATGAAAAAGGCTAAGAGGAAATACAGGAATTAGAAGTATTCTAACCAAAGGGATTCAAAGTTGTAAGCCTATAGTGAGCCTAGGTTTAAGAAAATATAGTTTATATAATTTGATACAACAATTTGAAAATTTACTTAAAGCTACAAGCTATCGTACAGAAAAGAAAAATTTAAAAACAGACTCTTTAATGATGAATTTAATCAAATAATCTAACAGTTTACAAGCTCAGCTAAGAATAACCAAGAGGGTCCAGCAATCTTAAAGACACCTCAACTTGTGACTATACCAATTCAGGAAGTTCTGCAGAAGCAAGAGAAGCCTTACGTGGTGGTCTTACTGATGTCCTGAACACTTTGTAGGGGGTCAGTTGTGTCAGGGCAGCGGAGAATGCATGGTGCAAACACAATGGCCAAAGCATTAGCAGACATTCGATTAGTGTCTTCCTGTAGAGCAATCCTAAGAAATAAAACAAAAAAAAAGTGAAAAATGGATAAAAAGGGAAAATAATAGAAAATATGAGAGACAGAAGATGGTATGATGCCAACTGCACATTACTGGGGCAATACCCACATGAGTTGAAGGGAGACACTGTAGACTTTCCCAGAAATGATGTTCTGCCTCTGGAAAATGTGGGTTCACTTTTCTTTGAAACAATCTAGGTCAGCAGTGCTTACTAAGGGAACACTGTGAACACCTCTGTGAACTGCCTCAAGGCCTATGTCACTTGATCAACATATTTGAGAGATGTGGGGTTAGAGGCTTTAAGGCATTTTCAGTTATATACAATATTCAGTCAAAGAAAGATGGGTTTCTTCCCAAATGCTACTACTATTTATTTACAGGGTAAGAGAGACTACTCAAGTTTCCAGTCCGTCTATTTTTTAAGCACAATCTGAACCTACTTCTTTCAAATAAGGTTACATCAACAGATACACATCTTTTCTAGCTGAGGAGCTCAATCAATGGCTAAAGTACACAGTGTCACCATGAGGGTGGGGCTGCTAACATGGCTCACATGAGGGTAAAGAAGCAGAAACACAGACCAGCTTCAAGAAATCCTGAGTGCCTGTTCAAAGCACTAACTTCTGGGAAGGCAAGGAAGAAGAAGACAACAGGAGGGGAGGGAGAGAGAGAAAAGAAATATATGCCACCTTTATGATGAAATTCTTCCAAATTAAGTACTTCTCTACTTAAAAATAATCCAAGAAAAATCTCTAAACATTACTGCACTTCCTGAGTTACCTTACGAGGTGAAAGATGAGGCGTTCAAGTGTATTGAGGTGAGTTCGGGAGAGCTGGTCAATCACAGAGTACACCCCGCGGATTGTCTCCTTCCTCTCCTGAAGACCTAGGAACAGGAAATCAGCAATCAGACTAAAAAACCCTCTTACATGTTACTTCCTCCTCCTAAACACACTCTGAAGCAGCTCTTGGCTTCTGGAAGAAATATTTGTGCCTGAATGGCACAAGAGGAGTGATTCTACTTCCAGTTATACTTTGACACCCTCACTGTAAGCAGAAAGAATCCCCTGAGTTTCAGTCTACATTTCAGCAATCCTCAATTACAACAAAGGGACAGAGATGCTCTACTTTTTCAACCATTTTTGCAGAAGACTGATTCCTCACTAAAATTAATCATCATACATTTTATACATCCTTGGAGTCTAATTATCTTTATGAAGACCATCATCAACATACTACACACCCAGAACACCGAAAAGCCACACTGCAAAACCTGACAGGCATGGCATAAAAGCTTTATACACATTTCTGCTCACATTCACAACTTAAATTGATGCTAGACTATTCTTAAATCTTACTCATTCACTATTTTATAATTCTAGTTTTTCAAGCTTTTTGCGAGTAGCAACGAAGTGGCTTACTCAGAAAACTTGCAGAACATGATATTTTAAGTGTCTAAAAAGTCAACATTTGAATATGTAGCAGTACTGCCAATTTTCTACACACTATCACAAGCTAATATTTGGATGTTTAAGGGCTAAACCACTAGAGAATGCTTCAGAATCAATACTAAACTGATGGCTTTCCTTTCTCAAGTATAGTCCTTGCCTTCCCTTAACCCAAACAGTCCGTGCTTACCCATAGCTCGAAGAAATTCCTCATAGAGTTCAAAGGTCATGAGTGGATTGGGCAAATCTCGAAGCCATTGTTTGAACACACTTGCAATGACATGAATGTTGTAGTCATCTAGGTTTACACTCTCAGCATCTATTTAGAGCCAGAAGGTAAATAACAAAGCCAAAACATACAAATATATTTAAATAACTGATTTTAGAAATTCTTATCACTAAAAGAAGCTTACTCTTCCTTCCTTCCTTCCTTCCTTCCTTCCTTCCTTCCTTCCTTCCTTTTCTTGGGGGGGGGGGTACCAGGGACTGAACTCAGGACCTTGCATTTGCCAGGCAGGTGCTTATGCTGCTGAGCTATCTCCTTAACCAAACTGACAAACTCATATCTCCTACAATTCAGTTTTGTGCTTTGGAACAATGCTTCTAAAAGTCAAGAAAACAAGTGTTCTCCCAATTGGCTGCAAACTGAGATACATAAAATAAAACATTAACTCTTTTGATGCTAAAGCACTGTTAAACTGCTAGAAATGTTTCTAAATTCATTTTCTCAATTATTGTACTGTCTAGTGTAGACTGACAATAGGAAAAAGGCAAGGCCTTTCATAAGAGCAAGGCTGATTTTAAGTCATGGTTAGAGATGACAAGGCAGTGATAAGTGGGCTTAGGCAATATGGAGAAAACATCTTCACCTTGTATCACTTATAAACATCCCAACATTACATAGATTAGATGAATGGGAGGATATTGGATGAATGATTTTTATTTGTGCTGCTCCAAGGTATAAAATTTTCAGGGCCAGTGAGACAGCTTTGCAGACTAAGTGCCTGCTTAGTACGTCTGAGATAAATTTCAGAAATGACCTATATTATCCATCAATGGGTGAAAAGATAAAGAAAACATGGCACTGTGTCAACACACAATGGAGCACTATCCTGCCATAAAGAGAGAGAAATCTGAGGCATTCATAAATGGATGCAGCTCAAGATCATAACGTGGGGGGCCAGGTATATAGCTCAGCAGCACAAGTGCCTGCCTGGCAAGGCCAAGGTCCCAAGTTTGATCGCTGGTACTGCACAAAATAACCCCAAACAAACAAACAAACAAA